AAGCGAATGCATAACTTTGAATTTGACCAATCAAAGCATGTTTATTTCAAATAAATAACTTCGAAGACGCATGCAGAGTGCTAAAAGGGTGTCAACTCATATATTTCGATACGGTAGCCTCTCATTGGGCACATCTACATATAGAGATGGAGGTCATGAATATGCATGTGATGATGTCGTGTCAGTTTGATGAATATTCATATTCTTAACCGCGCGTGCATATTCATGACCTCCTTCTAATTGTGCCCAATTAGAAGCTACATTGGGTAACAACCTTCCAGCTCTCAACATACATTTATTTCTTCAACTTAAATAAAATATATATGACGAATTGGAGCTCCTCTCACCTATCTTTCGGAAATTTTAAAACCATCGTTCTCAACTTTGTCATTAGAGCAGAAAATCGCATCTTTTTATCGGCTTCCTGGTTTATAGATGATTGTTCAAAGTTCTCTTTCCCGTTGCCTTCTGGAGAATCTTGTATTGGGATCGAAGATTTCATCTGAAATGTGTCTATGGTGGTCGAAGATGGCGCTCTTCCGTTTACTGGGTGAAGGTTCGGTTGATTTTCGAGGCCTGGGATGTTACTGAAAAACTATGCAGAAGAATAGATAGGAAAAAATACAGAGCACGTTACAAACCAGCCGATATCGTATACTGCAGTCAAACCTGATTTAGCGACCACCTTTATAGAAAGACCACCTGCCTATTAAGACCACCTTTCGTGTATTCCTTGAGCGGTATTTATATAAAGGTTCCAATATAGTATGTATTTGATGTAACTACACATATGAAGAAGAACAGCCATGGATACATTATTCACTGAAGTGAAGTTATTTAAGTATCTTTTTGACCATCATATATTACATGGGTAAATGTATGCACAATATATGGATAATAAACAAATTCTCCTCCCAATATTAAACGCTTTACTTTACAGGAGAAAATATGACGTTGAGGTTTTAGCCTTCATATTAATAATCTACGGGAACCCTGCATGTTCATTCTACCTATTTTTGAAGTTAGATTGTGAATAAATTGAGTGATAACTACATTTTATAACAGTGATGATATTTTGTGGTGGTACAAACAGCTGGAAAAGGGTCGAAGATTACCTTGTCCGAAAACATGTTCCTCCACAAATTCAAGCCATGTCTTTTGGCTCTGGAAGCGCGATCATTGTCCTTGTCTTTCCGACGTCCACTCCGTGATCTTCCACCTGAACCCCTTTCTCGATTCCTTCTCCTCTCCTCTCTTCTGGCTTGTTTGGCTTCCCTGGATGAGTTCCTTCTCTCGCTCTTGTCTTTCCTAGGTTTCTTCCTCGATGGCGACGGAGACGATCCCGTGGTCGATGTCGGAATAAGTCTTTCAGATATCACTTTCTCGACCGCATCGATTCGAACCCGACCTCGCGTCTCCGACGTATCAGTCTCAGGGACCGTTCCTGTAGCTGTGTCCAGTTGACTTGGGCCATCTTGAGGGCGCCCTTCGTCAGCATCTTCCTCAGCGGACTTCTCCAGTCGTATGTGCACCTCCGCATCGTGTACTGCATCCGGGGGCAATGGATTGCAATAACTTTCCAGGTGAGAGACGGAACATCGGTTGAGACAGCATTCTGTTACGATGAGACCGGTTCTTGCTCCTCGTTTGGACCGACGAGTCTCGCCTCTCGACATCCCGGACTTCAGAAATGTCTTGGCCCGCGTCTCCAGCTCAAATATACCAGCTATTAAAAATATAAAAAGTCACAGGTCAAAATATTATGCATTGACTTCGCAAAAGAAACAAATTATTTTCGTCTTCACAAGTGACAAAATAATTATTGAAGAAGAAAAAACTGAACATGTTGTATATATTGAACATCTGAAAACTGAATCAATTTCTTCAGTGGTGTTATAGGGATTGCTCTAAGACAGGAAGCCAACGCCTTTTTGGAGCACCATGATGACAATGATGGTGGTGATGTCAGTGACGATAATGGTGGTGGAGGTAGTGGTGTAGTGGTGATGTGTAGTGCTGGGTTTCAATGGTAATAATATCATGGATTACGATGGTTGTAGCTAATGATGATGATCAATAATTATATAGTAATCATGACGATATTGTTCATGTAAAATAAATTTTACTGACCTGATCTTTTGCTTGGCTGACCGTAGTAACCGCGATCATTGCACACCGCTGCAACAGCCTTGACCAGTTCTTGACCACAGAGTAGCGGAAAGGATGCCGTCACGTGACGAAGAAGAGCCAATAGGACCACAGACATGACAGCTACCGGGTACCTAAAACAAACCATCTTTCCATAAGCCTGCAAGGGAAGAGAAAAGGAAGAGAAAAGGAAGATTCGACCTCAGAGTTTGGATGCTTCAAGTCGAATGGGGTCCTCTCATTTGTTACCGAAGTATAAAGTACCTGTTTGCTCGGGCACGTGGGCTTAATTATCATGGTAGAAGATCCTAGACAATGCAAGCTGGGGTTGGGTATACGACAAGCACTTAGCAGGTGGCAATGCCATTCTTGTTATCAATTTACTCGGAAATCTTTGACAATGACACGATTTGATGGTTCTAATTTGCGTTTAACGTTATCACGAAGCTCTTTTGTATTATCATAGACAAACCGGAGATATTTTAAACGAAATCTTTGAGATAATGTAACGGCCGATTGCAACCAAAACTCCAAAAGAAGACGATTGGTAGGACGTCGAAGATAACATTGTGTCATGTTTGGAGATAAAAAGTACAACCTTTGAGCTAAACTTAGGGCATATTTCTGTTCTTGATCTTGTTCTATTCTTCTAACTCACCCCTGTAAACTTTGCGATGTAGAAGACAACGGAGTGTAATGTTCAACAGGTGTCTACTGTAAGATAATACCTGATATGAGTCTCACATTAATGTCATGACAGTCTGGCATTCGCTTTTCCCAAAGTACATGTAATTGTTATGTGCGATGTCATGACAGAAACGTGATTATTCAGATATATATTTTGTTTTCATTTGTTTTAGCAATTACACCATTATATCATAGGATAAATCTACTATTCCTTATTAGTTTTACGGCGAAAATTACTGCATGATATTAGTTATATTATATTATGTCTCCATAATTATACATGTATCAAATAAAATATTTTTAATTTTACATAGCGCATATATCCACAGCGCAGGGTCCCCAAGACACTTAAAAAACATTCCGCCTCTGCCAGGCTACCGACTTCGGTGCTCACAACATTCAAAGAATCTTTTATACCGGTACCTATGTAACACCTGGGTAGAGAGTGGCAAATGTAGACTAATACCTTGCCAAAGGATATTAGTGCCGCCGTGGAAATCGAACGGCGATCCATATGATCCACAGTCCGACGGCGTATCCACTAGACCGCCATACCAACACGGTTGCACAGCATAAGGTTGCACAAGTTGTTTTTTGTTTGTTTAAGGATTATATTGGTATTTTCAAATAACGTTTTCTACCCGTAATTTCGAGGCTTTTATAAAGAGTTGTATTTCAAAGGTACTTTTTTCGAAAACATTTGGTTATCAAAAAAAAAAAAAAAAAAAAAATTCCGAACACGGGTTTCTCGTTCAATATGTTCGTACTGACAAAAGTTTGCCGATGAAAAGATTTTCTTAAAAAGTATTATAAATGTCCTCCAGTTTCTGTTTCTTCCCCCCTATCCCCCCCCCCCCATCCCCCACCCCCCCCCCCCCTCTCACTCTCTCTCTCTCTCTCTCTCTCTATTTCTGTTCTTTTTGTTGTATTTTGGGGTACGTGTTTTTCCTTCCATTATAAGGCTGCTATTTTCAAATGCTCCTTCTGAAAGAACTTCAAACAATAGTTTAAGGATACCAAACATGGGAGTCCTTCTCCTTTTTTTCTTACGGTTTTCCGAAGATTCAAATCCCCAAAGTGTTCATTATTTCGAAGATTCCTATTTTATTTTTGGAAATACATATACGAAACCTACTTCATTTTCGGAATTAGAAAACCTACATCTTTTTTTGAAAATGCGAACAGTCAGAAATATGTACCTTAGAAGTAACGAATCTTCGGAAGAACAAACTTCCGGAAGAACGAACATCCGGAAGTACGAACTTTCGGAATAATTAACCTTCGGGAAGACGACATGTAGTCACCCCTAACATTACCCTTTTTCTCGTCGGGCAATAAGATCTTAGCCTGTAATTAATCAGGGGATGGATTCTTCGTGTGTCCGATCGTAAAAATCACATTTACTCTGTTCGATCTCTTGTGAAGACTCACACCTCTTCACGAGAATTACCAATGCTCAAGAGCTTGATGGAAACCTCGAACATTTACAGATCGATGAAAAATGGTAAAGAGTTCAATCATGTACTATTCGAAAAATCAAGAATAAAGATGAAGTTGAGTTCCGGTCATGCGATTGCATTGTGAAAGAAACGGTGTGGATTCGACCAAAAAAGGTTGATCATCTAACTTATAAGAATTTGTGTGTATTGCAAGGTTCTGGAATCATCAAAATGATAAGAAATTTGGTCAAGTCTTGGTAAAGTTACCAACACTGTACACAGAAAGATGTATATGGGACTACACTAACACATGGCGTAAAAATCCTACCCCCGACTTTTACGATGTTCATGACATATTTAGAATATAAAAGCATTTGAAGAGCCATGCTTTTTAGGGAACATGTCTTATCTAATGTTCTTCCACACTTGCATAATAAGAATGATAACGCTCACAAATCATTTTTCACCTCTTCCCAGAACTCAACCTTCTCTTTAAATGATAATTTCTTTTAAGTTATACGATCCCAATTCTAGTTTGGAATTCAGACAAGAGAAAGAGGCGAAACCCGGAAAGCAAGGCTTGTATTGGGAACGCCCAATTATGAACGGAAAGGGTAGACATTGTTTAATCAGATGTTGAGGCATGTTCTAGAAATTGTCTCAACGTTATGTAATTAAGTTAGCTAATTTATATCCATTTGCTAAAAGGAAATCAGGAACCCCGTCGCATAAAACTTACCATTGATGGTAACTTTGCCTTCACTGGCAACTACCATGGTAACAGGGCTCAACACCCAATCAAAATCAAGGTTACCATGGTAGTTACCATTGATGGCAAAGTTACCATCAATGCTATGTTTTGTGTGACAGGGTCCAGGTACAGTATGTGTAGGGTAAGGGTTTGGGTTAGGCTCTCATTTTAGAAACAGGCCTCTTCACTTGGTTAAATACAGCTTTCCAAATGAAATCATTTCGAGGTGAAAGTTAGAATGGAATTGGATAAGAACGTTATACATGTTTTATTTAATTATTATATAAGACCAAACATTATCATACATGTATAACTTCGTGTGTTTTTTTTTACGCTCGATATTACAATGATTTGGACAATCATAACGGAATAGGATCTGTTGATGCTTTGATTTCCTTTAAAGTATGGCATCCATGCAATATTGCGAGTACAGTCGCAACGGAAAAGGTGTTTGTGATAGGACATTTGTGATATTGTATTGTAAAGCAAATGGGAGGTTTCCGAACTGACGTCACAGTCTAATGACGGATTCGTCATTCTGAATTTCACGTAAATTTAGTCATCTCAATCTTCAAACGTTTTTATCATTTGTCCCATTTTGGTTAAATTGTTATCAACATATGCCCTTATCATCTGATGCAGATGCAATAGAAAACATTTAAGGTTTTCAAATGTTATCTACTCTTAAATTCCGCTGTTATGTTTCAATGTAAAACATTACAGAGGTCGAAACTGCTACAAAGCGGTTGAAAAATATACTGGAGAAATTTAGGATTACATTGAGCTAAAGATTGAGGAAGTGAAATTATGATTGCGAAATATTCAAAATGAGCATTATCACAATTTTCATTTTCAAACCGACGGATAACATACTTAGTAAGAAGAGTGGTGCATAAAATGTAATCTTACTGAACGTGGTAATTCTGTAATAGTTTTTTTTATAACAGGTAAGTACAATAATTCAACTTCAAAAACCATTTAATATGACGCCAAGTGGATATGTAATCATCAGAATGGACGTTTGAACCGATAGGGGTTCTTAGATGTACCCCCGATTTGGCAAGGTGTTTTTAGCCGACACCTTTGCCACTCGTAACCCTTGTGTGTATGGATAAATATTACAAGAATATGCAGGGATAAGTAAGCGTCTTGCCGGGTCCTTCATTAGTTTTAGATAGATGATACACATTGTCTTATTATAATAATGGATGGGGGAGGACGAAAAAAAAAGAGAAGGAGGAGGAGGAGGAGGAGGAAGAAGAGGAAGAGGAGTAGATGGTAGATTTAAAGGATGTATAGAGTGACGAAAATGACGAAATGAAAAAATAATGTTTTATCAAAATAGAAAGCACAGAAAATAAAAAAGGAAATAGGGTTAACGTCAACAACAAAACAAGAAAAATCGAGAAACACGCAACAAATTATATTTACCGTTTCCTTTGACGAGAATGAATAAATTCCGATTTTGTATGATTCAAAACGAAGGAATTTCCAAGAAAATGTCAAGTATAGTTGTTGTAGATGGTGAACTTTAAACTTTAAACTTTATAGACGCAATGTGTTATTCTCTCATCAGCTAGCAGAGCTAGGGAACTTTGCAAACCTCGAAGTATATTCTCCGATTAGATAATGAAGCAGATAATGTTTTACACCTCAATTCACACTTCAGATGCTGAAATCCAGACAAAGTTCGGGACAGAAGATACTTTCAGTCAATCAAATTTATAAATATCTGAAGTACTTTGGTGAGATAAAGCTGGAGTCAAAAATGATGTGACTGGCCCTCTTGAATCGCGACACACCGAGGTGAATATGAACTTATATCCAAGGGCGTCCAACTTATATAGGTGGAGACATGAAGGATATTTCGACACCACCCCCGAAGATTGCAAAACTATTTATAAAACTTTCAGATAGAGCAGGAAAGAAGGAGCATATCGTTGGTGGCGACGAAGTGAATACAGACAGATCAAGTGTCAAACATGGTGCCGTTATGTTAAAAGAATCCAATCGAAGATTATGGAGTTATTTGAAAGATAGTGGCGTTGACGAAGCGTCGATTTCAGAGAGAGACGGATTTCAGAGAGAGAGGGCTGTCAGATTCGCCTTGAAGACAATCGGAAGAACTCTAAAACCCCTTAAAATGATCTAGGAGAACTCAGATGGTGTCCATGCTGGGGAGGTGAAAAGTTGATCAGAGGAAAGTAATTGGAAGGAATGCGGACGGTTGACCCTAAGCCGACAAACTGCCCAATCGATGATACTACTTTCAGTTCAACTTCA